TAACATTTATTATAGGTGGTATATTTTGCTAATAGTGAACCTATAAGTGGTGTAATAACAAACTGTGGAATCTATTTCTAAGAAAAAGAAATTAGAAAAATCCCTGAGAATTTGTAATCCGAGTAGAATACCCGCTTAGAAAGTCAGTTGCAGAATCTAGTTTTGGCCAACATTACAACAAATAGATTTTAAGATGAAAGAAAAAGTATTTATTTTTCACTCAATACAATATATAACTAATAGACATAAATATTATATATTATATATAAAATATTGTTTATTTTATATAATAGATGTATATGAAAATATGTGCATCATATGTATGCCATATTTTTTCACTTCACAGTCGATGTAACACTAGTAGCGGTGAAAAAATTGATTCTGAGAGCGGGGCATTGAGATATAACAATATATTCTCATATAATAAACCCTTGTCTGTACAATATATGTCTGGAGAAAGACGTAAGTTCAACAAAATGTTTTGGGCTCCAGATTTAAAAACGAGCCTGGAGTTTCATTTGTGAAGATAAAAACGTCATTCTCAAAACATGAAACGACAGAAATTCGCGAAGCCGTGTCATTCTGAAGACGCTCGACGACAATAGTTGGAGAGGAAAACGTCTTTAAGCTTTGCGGATAAGAAACTTTATTTCAAAACCTGAATTGTTCTACATGAAAGAATATTTTCGAAGCGTTTCATCCTTTTGTGGATAAAGGACAATACGTCGGTAGAATAGAGCGATACAAAGCTGCGGTGGCCGAGGAAGTTTCAGTCGTGTGGTGGGATTATTGAACTAGTTTTATTAAGTACTTATAAAGAGCGGTCGCCTTCAGTTCTATTACTCAATGTACTTATTTTCAGTTAGGAATCTAGTTCCCGGGGGAACATTTAGTAGATAATACCTCTAATCTTCATATACTTACTGACTAAATACATAAAATCAGCGTAGTGTACTGTGACCATAATTCAAATGGATTTATAGTATCGTATAAATTATATTGAATTATAATGTAAATTGCTCAGGTATTTGTTATTTATGACCGGTGCTCGCGTCTGCACCGACTGAAATTCAATTTCTAAAAGACAGAATAACTAATCTTCAAATTAAGTATTTGTATTATATTCATATAATTTCGTGAAAATTATACAATCTGAGACTATTATATAATAATACTGAGAAATTTATTGAGACTATTTAATTTTACATACTAAAATAAACATATGATCAATCTTGATTTAAGTAAATTATGATAAATTCATATTAATTCCACATTTTTGTGGTCACTATATAATTTAAACATAAATAAATCTACAATTAGAAGAATTACATGAAAATTTAAACAAAATTTTTGATATAAAATTACGAAGCTGTCTCATCGTGTTGCGTTCAAAAAGAATTCAGACGAGTTCTGAACATCGCGAGATTAATGTCATACATAATTTATGAAGCAGAAGCGACTCTTGGAATTGGCTAAAACAATATATAACAGATTCTTTAATGAAATAATATATACTTCTCATGTGTGATATATTTTTTCAAGTTTGTTTTCATTAAGTCCATACTAATATAAAATGAGACTGATCATTTGCGAAAATTTTCTCGATTCAAACCATTAAATTAAAACCAAATTTGAATATAAAATTATGGTTAAATAATATGAGTACAATAGAGATGACGTCAATAGACGCATAGTTAACGAGAAGTTAAAATAACAAAGTCTCTCTTCAAAGTTTTATAACGATCTAAATATTCTTTTGTGGCAGTTTTGAAAAACTGCAGTCTAAATGGAACGGAAGAGGTCGATGACCCCGCTCAGAGTCTACTCCAGTTATATAGAACATAGAAACTTTATATACCAATACATTCATACATATATACATATTTGATATTTGCAAATATTAATATCTTTAGGTAATAATACTCTCGAAACAAATGATTAGTTGAAAAATACTGTTTGAGCTAATGATTTTTCTCGTTTTATTTCTGTTTCTATCATACTGAGAGTATTCTTATAAATGTGAATGCACGTCAACCCATCTGAATTAGTTTTTATTTTATACAAAGAATTAGTGTGTTACGTGTCTACTATAAATGATAAAGACTTGAAGTAAATGAAATAAAAATAAAATGTTTATCATTTTACACACATAATGGACAAAATCTTTTCCACTGACTAATAACATAATATTCCGACATTCGTTGCAGACTCACCTCCCTCTCTGCCAATATGTATATACACTCAAATAGGTTTTCTTACGTCAATTTAGTATGTTAAACAATATTTATACTATATATCACGTTCAACCAGGTAAAAGGCTTAATATAAAAATATGACGTACATAATATATATATATATATATATATATACACACACAAATATAAACAGTAAATTAAGAAGACTTTTATTTGTAAGTTAATTTAACTTAATGAAGTCTGCTTCTCTGTGTTTTTCATGTCATAGGTAATTTACATAATACATTATTATTATTACCAGCCATACAAGGAGTTTTGATACAGTTATGTATTTTATGGATATCTGTATGGAAGATCCAAGGAGTGTAGTTAACGAGTCTTTCAGTTTGGATAAATTTACCACAGATATGAGATAAGTGTTATAGAACGAATATTATCCCTTAACTTCGATATAAGAAATGGAAGGACATTAGTTTCGAGGGAGAATTACTGTGCAGACAAATTTTACTCATATATATAATATTGTATAAATAATCAGAACTTCAAATCTCGTCTGCCCGTGATCACGGTTGCTGAAAAGTAGTCGAAACTTCGGGATTATGTAGTTTTCCACAAAAATAATGTCGAGTAGTACTTCCGAAAATTAATAGTTTCATTTAAGTAAATAAAATATGCAAAACTCTTAGATCTCATTAATAAGCAGATTTGTCTATATTTTTAGTTTTGTGATGATTAAATGAAACAATATCATTATATCTCTGCAGCACCGTCGATACAATCAGGTCGGAATGATCGCGAGGGTTTTGTTGAGATAAACTGGAAAATATTTCTCACTAACGACTCACTCTATTGTATCATCCGAGTAGCTTTAATTAACGATCGTTTACTCTTTCATTAAGATGAGATAAATGTTTTTGTTTCGAATGACGCAAACGGTTCTAGCGTATTCAGTGAAATAACGATGATTTAAAATATTGGTATTATCTTTTTTATTTGTAAAATTACATATTGATGTTATAAAACTCGGGTTTTAATTTCACTTCACATTTATATAAAGCACTGGGTGGTCGAAACATATAAAACGAACTAATAAACACAATTTTACGTAACTCGAAGATATAAGAAGTAATTTTTAATTTTATTTTAATGTAGATTCATTTACGGTTGAATTTTATGACTATGGATGAACTTTATTTAAATCGGTTGCGACAAATTACTGTACATAAAATGAATAATAAACAGACTATCGTATGGTATTGTTGATGGTTTGATTCATGCCATTAATAAGGAGGCGCATTTCTGAAGATTGACGATTGATTGATGAATTCCTACCAAGTATATAGATTGTAGAAGAATGGTTTGGTGGAGGGTAATTTGTGAGATCCGATTTCATTGCTCCTTAAAAGAAGCATCGTTTTATCAAATACTCATCGTTATATCAAATGCCTGAATCTTATATTGGTGATGCAAGACTCGGTCCATCGACTAGCACAAGATACATTCTAAAAAATATGCCTCGATCAATATTACAAATTAAGATTCTCTCGTTTTAACATGTCTTTTATTTAAAGATTTCAAAAAAAAAATAAATCCAAAGACATTTTTTGAAAATTTATAGAGATATATTTTAGTGTAAAATATTTAGAGCATTAACCTTAACTAGGAGAGAAATATAAAATAATATATTTAACACAGCAGTTATATCGTTTTATAAAAAACATGAAGAGATTCATTAGTGAGATTAAATATGATATGTTATAAAACAACGTCTAACTAACGCTTGCTCTCTAATAGTCGTTTTAAAAACCCCATTCACAGTTTTAATCCCGTTTTATTTGTGAGCGAAAAGTCGATATCAGTGTGGGTGTAGGAGGATTACGTCCGTGTTTGTACAACAAAGTGTCACTGCTCTTAAAATACCGCAAAACGATATTGAACTCGCAAATAGGGATTTAAAATAACCGTTTTAATGCCATATTAGTGATACGGTTTAAGTAATTTGTTTGGGGCTCCCGTTGTTAAATGGCAATTGGAAACTTTTATTATGATTTACTTTATATAATGCGACCTGCTCGTATTTATAATGTATATAAATAAGAGTATTTGGTAAACAGGATGTCGTTATTCTATTTTAGTATTTGCCAGACAATTACTTCTGCGGAAAAAATAATTAATTAGTCTGGATATATTTTCTTCACAGATGTTATATATTTTCTTAGATTTATTTAGATTTAAGTGTCTTTCGGAAATTGTCATAGTAATTACATGTCTTCAGTTTACAAAAACATCTCTGAAAATTCTTTTACAACAGCTGAGGGTTGGTAAAGTTGAGGCAGAATGTACCGTCCTCTCACACGAGTTGAACGGATAGAAGGTCCTACGAATGTCATGAGTTAGGTTGGCGAAACACCAAATCTCCCTACTGGGAATTTCTCTTTCAATCTTTCTGTGGCACCGTTCCCAAAAGATATTTTATTTCCATATTTCTTTGGACCCTACAACGATAAAATTAAGTATTCATAATAGGCGGTGGAGACTTACCATCAGGTTGGTCCCTAAGCTCAGTCCTCTTTGCCCAGAGCCAAAAAACTTTACAAACTATACTTTAAAATGATTTGTATCATAGTTGACCATCTATTACGCGGAGAATGAGGATGTTTTTCCAACAATGTGATCAGCATTAATCAATTAAAATTACCATACAGTGACAAAATTGAAATACTTGCTATAAACTCGGAGTGTTCTTTATTTCAATGAGAGATAACGTGATTATGAGAGTGCAATGGACGGGCGGAGGGAGGTGGGCTGTGGGGGAAGGAGTTTACTAAGGAATATAATCATATGCCGTTACTGAGAACTGACACCGTCAACAAGATGTCGGCAGGTAATTAGTATATTCATTATTAATTACATAAACAGATAATTGAATGTACGGCTACAACGTTATTTATTATTTACTTAGAACACTTCAAACTATAGAAAGCAACAAGCATTGTTAAAACTGTTTTATCTTATACTATTCCAACTATTTACTTTGCATACTTCAAGCTATAGATAGCAACAAGCATTGTTAAAGCAGTTTTCTCTACATAATACTATTAAATCTAGTGATGTTGTAAAGCTATTGGTAATATAAAGAGTTTAGTGTCGGTCGTAGCGGGCTCCGCGGTGGCGATGATCGGCGCCAACCTGCGCTTCGGTTCAGCCGGTGCTTCAAACTCCTCTGTGGTCAACAACACGAGACTCTGTCCACCAGGGGGAGCCGCTAGCGCCGCCGCTCTACTGGCACTCTCTGGTCTTGGTATGACCGCTAACATCGCGCTCATGGCTGTCATATTGAGCAAGAAGCAGCTTAGACGGTGAGCGAATCTTCTTTCATTATTTTGTTCAATATCGAACTATTAATAGTGAGTGTAAAAAATTGGAAAGCGTTTCAATCGATATCTAGTAACCTCTTGATGCAGCATATAGCAGATAGCCATTACAGCATCAGGAAACGTTTAAGTAAGAGAGATGGAAGCTACTTTTCAATAGGAAATAGCAATTCATAACAAAGTTATGATTGTATTGCGTCAAACTGGACTGTTTCTCTTTGTATAAATTTTCAGTCTTCACGTACTTACACTAGATTAAAAAAAAAAGAATATCTTAAAAGGAGGAAGAAATTTTATTCAAAAATGTAAGTGTTTTAGTGTATACCTTATGAGAGAGTCGTAGAAACAAACATTCTATTACCAGTGATGAGAAATATATACATATATGAAATCAAATATGTATAAAACATGAAGTCTATTAAATAAATAAACATTGTATAAAACTTTACACTCTAATAATATTACGTACATCCATTCCCAGATTACCTTTCAGCCATGTTGTGACGTATAGCGACTATACTTTTAGCCATCTCTGCTAGCTTCGTATCCGTGTAATGTTTGAAAACTTAAAAGCTTCCAACGACAGAAATATGCGGAACATACAACTTAAATTGGACGACTTCAGGATATGTCTTTGAATAAATCGCATTTGAGATAAATTCACATTTAAATTTCTAAGAATATGTGCGCTTTAAAATATATGTTTGAGATATAGTAAAAGAAGCGTGTATCATGTTGAGATCAAAGTAAATTATTAACATTAATAAGTTAAAGAAAATATAATAGGAACTTTGAAGGTACTTGTAAGATATATCAAGTTTCAGCAGCCTTCACTTACACAATATGTAATGGTTATTATTTATTTTTATATGATGTTACCAAGAAAAATATTGATAAATTATTGGAACATAACTCATATAATTGATTGATACGTGAATGAAAGATTAAACAGTTATTTAAAGCAAATTCAGTTTCAGAAGCTACTGAAAGCTTATACTCGTACTGTGGGTAACTGGATTGAATAAAATATAAGAGTAGTTTAAAATATACTTCAAGATTATTACTAAATAAAAACTAAAGAAAATTTAACAAATTAAATTAATGTTAGTACGATAATAATTAAATTACAGGTTGCTTTGAATGTTTTTTAAGGGTTGAGTTAAGCTTAATTTAGCAAACTCATTTAGCATATTTTCAAAGAAAGACTCAAGAGTTATCTCAATAATTTTAGGTCGGCGTGGGTTTAAAATTTGTAAGAATACAATTTTTATTTACGGGTACAAAAATGTATATCGAAGTCGGGTTTTCATCAAAAAAATTTTCATTTAAAAGATTAGTTATGGATACAATTAATGTATCGGTAAAATAAATTAGTAAAGGCTCAGTACGGAATGACATCTCCAGAGAGTCAGATAGAATATGAAATATATTTTTAATATAGTTGAGTCAGAAGTAATTTAATAAGGGCGTGGGATCGTTGTTCATGAAAATTATAACACACCGGTGTCAAGGTAAGATTTTCAGTTTGTGTTTCCTCGACTTGAAAGATGAAAGACAAACATCTAGGCTTATTGTTGTTGAAATTAGAGAGATTAAAAGATAACGGAACAGAAATATATTGTTAGCACACAAAAGAATATTTTGTCATGCTTAAAACTTTTAATATCGTACCTAAAGTAAATATGTAATGATGCTATGTTGTCATGTTTTTTATGCTTTGTATTTGGCCTGGGTATTACTTTCATTTGAATTGGATAAATATAATTAAAAACATAATCTTAGCATTACTTAAATATACATATATACTGGTTAGGTGTGTTGTTGAAACCAAGGGATTAATAAACAAGGCTACCAGAAAGGTCTTTTGCTTCCGAGGGTAACTGTTATTATAGTCACATGTGTCTGTGCTATGATCGTCTTGAATTTCATTGGGTTAGCATCATGGTCCGTAATCTCTAAAATACAATTTCCATCTCCGGTTAAGGGGCGGAGAAAGCATAAATATTATTTGTAGTGTTTTAAAAAATTCTGTCGAAAACTTGCCTTAAGGTGCTCTTAAAGTACAGGAGAAATATTAATGACTTCTTTTAAACTTTAGCTGGACGCGTAGGTACTAGATCAATCTGGGAGAGTAGGATAAAAGAAAAGTTATGAAAAGTACATATGTGAAGTGCCTAAATATTTAAGACACTGAAAAAAGTCTTACCGACCGTATTTCTCTCGTGTATTGTTCACTTTATAGCCATATTATTTATTTATATCCTGGTCTGCGTCAAAAGTAACCGGGTAAAACGTTTACAATATTTAAAAAATCCACTTACGTATGTGTATTGTGGATTTTCATAACATGTCGATAGTATAAAAGCGAGTGATTGGCGTTACGTATGACCGCGTGTTACAGGGTTATTTAGGTTCTATAATACCTTCTTCTTATAAATATTAATGTTATTCTCATCATCGGCAGGTGGTCTCACGGTCTACTCTTCCACCAGGCGATGGTAGACTGTGCCCGCGCCGCCATCCTCCTACCTCTGGGTATAGCGGTGTTCCGATGTCAACCAGTCTACAAATGTTCGCTCGTGGAAACTGCGTTCTTATTACTTGTGAGTAAACATCTTTATTGAATAAACTTATACATTCTCTGACACCGCGTTTTTTCTGTAAAAAAAAATATTTTAATATTCACAAGGAATTTATGACAAATGCACCTATTATGTTCTTATATGTCACCCGATAATAGATTGACGTGATCAATAATTAATAAAAATGGTTAATTATTTATCTAAGTAGAGTTGCTTGTGTTATTTGTACAATGTCTTCTACATTTACAATAGTCTGTAATTAGAAGTTCTATCAACTAGTATTATCCAAGTAGTCAGTACGATCATTCATGAATAGGAAGTCGAGCTCGGAAGGCTATGCGGCTACAACCTCCTTCCCTGGCTACCTGTTAATGTTTCCGACTGACCTACATTTAAGTATTCCATATCATAGTTTCGTGTGCAGTAATTTTTCAGTGGTTTTTCATATTTTTCATTACAGAGCAGTTATAAGGAAGAGTTACCTGGTTATATTTACTATTCAAACTATAAAACACAATATCCGATTTTTAAATTACACGACCATACTCTTATCTCTTGATTCGTTGCCAACTCATTTTTCGAACATTTAGTGAAATGTTCTTCTTCCAAAAAACCGGTTTGTGTATTTATGCTGAGTTGTGCATATTATAAATAGTCTAAATGTAGAAATAATTTCTATACTGGTAACAAATTGTACCAAAAGTATTTTAAAATGTTGTTCTCGAGCGATACACTTTAATATTTAATCATTTTACAAATACTAGAGATAGAAGATACATATAATTATGAGTGAGTAGAAGTAGTTTAAATTTAAAAATAATGAAATTGAACAAGGAATCGTAAAAAAAATATCTTACATTCCATATTTCTTTTACTTTTATAATATTTTTTCGAGGTTTTTCTTTCTTTAAATAAATAACCATACAGGTAAGTTTACATTTTGGTTTCCAAGTTTAGGGTCGGCTATAAGTGTTTGATTACTTGAAGTTTGTTTGAATGGCTGGAGGGATCCTGTTACGAAGTTATGTCCAAGATAAACTTCAAGCAACTTTAGGACTTCGTGTAACCCTGTGACCGCTGTTGATTATTTAATATAGATATGTTTATCTAAAGTTATGGTTGTCGAAATATATGATTCGAATTAAATTTTTACAATGTTTAGTACTTCTATATACCTTAAATATTTTTCTTACAATCAGCACCTTGAATGTTGTAACGGTGTACAGTCTAAATGATTTTAATTAGCCAACGTAAAGCTCGACCGAGGATGGCAGTCTGCCAACACTGGCTACACATCAGAAGTTCGATCTCAAGACATGGACTATAATACGCCTATTGTTACAAACTAGCACAAAAAGGCTCTTCTCTGCTTTCTACTACATTTATCGGCTTTTGGAGTATAAAACATTTTCATTTTATTATTTCGTACTATGTTTGTGTTAAGAATGTTTACCGTTTACAATGAAAAAAAAAAACTATTATTCCTAGATTGTTATATAATATTGGATTAAATATTTTGTAATATCTTTTTTGTTTAAAATTTTGAGAATAATATAAATATACAAAATGATGTTCTGCTATTGTAAAATATTTCTTATTTCTTACACCAATAAAAATATTACAATCACACAAATATATATCTTTGGAACGTTGTATGTATCTACATATGTTTTGTATATCCGTAATAATAGAAGGTAAATCATTTTATCACCGTACCAGGTAACTGTCTCCACGGTCAACATGCTCACGACAGTTCTCAACGACAGTCCCATTTTCCCCGAAAACGAAGAGGAGCAAGCTGATTTATCGGCGCCTTTATTAATGGATAGTCCACAAGTACGTTCCTATGATAATGTCTTAAGGATACTTTTGTTTTGCAGTAGGAAAATATATTTTAAATGTTTTAATACTCTTTTGTCTTAATTCAATTATTAGACAGAATGCAACAGCGTGATGTTTACGTAAAGCTATTAATATTATAGTAACAAAAAATAATAAATAAATACGTGTGAAAAAATTATGTGTTATGTAATTGTACACACTGAAGCATAAACACAATAATTTTAATTAATACGTCAAGTGACTTGATTTAAGAATTTGTTTACAGACATTCTCATACTATAATGTGTTTCTATAACTTTTTGTAAGGTACCAGATAGTTCAACGCCATTATAATTCTCAAACATTCTATTAAGTTTAATACACGAATATACTAAGTTAAAGTTTTTATTTCAGTGCGTCCTTTTCGGAACTTTTATGATATGGTTTGCGTCAATTACCATTAACCTCGGGCCTACATTCTTATCGGGAGCGTTGGCAGCCAGCGCTGGTTCTTACGGCTCCTATGGCCCGTCCCCCTCCTGCCCGCTCGTCCGAGGTCCCTTCAGACATTACGTTCTTAACGCCCTCTGGATAGGAGTTAATGCTGTTTGCGTCGGATTGACATTATTCCATTTACGAAAACTCCATCGGGACCTCACTAAGGTTTGTATATTAATACTGTCTCAGGAAAGTTATGACCGATAGCTCGGAGAAGTTTAACCAACTTATCGAACGCTTCAGTATTTGCATTCCACTCATAGTAATATATGTTCTAGTTCGTTCCACTTCTCCATGTTTAGACGCTATACTTGCATATCATTCATTGCTTATAGCCGATAACATAGAGATTCAAGTAGTACGAGTAAATCAAATGTGTGTGTATGACAGCCGTTTGAGGTCGATGTTCGCGAGGAGGCTGATGAAAGTAATTCCAACTCGCCGAAGCTCGACGGTGATTTGCAATGCAAGAATACTGAATATGCATAAATCGAGTTGGTATATTGCCAATATTTCACAGAACTTTCGTATAAGATTTAAATTTTCGTGCACGAACTTGTTCGGAATAGCATCACGTGGTGGTGACGTGAATCGGGAAAATTGTTTCGACGATGTCCCGCAGTTTCCGTCTCCAAATCGAAGCGTGGGTATGGAGAGTTGGATAAAATTTAAATCTTATGGCATGCAGGCTAACGTAGAGGCCGTTCGTGTCGCGGGTCTAGTGACCACGCTGGTCAGCATGGCTGGAGACAGTCGCCGAATGGACTCGCTCCCCAACAGTGTCGGTCCGAGGGTATGTATGCATGCGGGGAATGCCTAGTTCTTACTTCATCTAGGGATGTTGCACTGTAGCTTAGACACTAAATAGAAATTAAATAACTACTTACATATTGGTTTTAAAAATATTCTAAATCTAAATAATACCTGTATTGTATAAACTTATTAAATAATTTTATATAATAACTTCTGTAATAGTTAATACTTTTTTGTAATTTTTTATCTTTTCTTCTAATTTTTATAATAGCCTAAATCCTGAAAACTTTTAAGTAATATTTTTCTATTCATTTATTTTCTTCTACGTATGTAGGGCTCGAACGTTTTTGGAGTTGATGCTTAAAGCAGGAATGTTTTCAGACCGTCGACGGTGCTTTAGCTGACGGTCACTGTCGTGCCAGGAGCAGCGCCAACCTGCCGCTGGGAGGAGGGAGGCGTCTCCGAGGATACCTGGCGAGAGTCGAGCGGGAGGGAGTCAGACGTGTGCGCATGTTCCTCGTCATCACCGCGGCCTATGTTCTATTCTGGGGACCTTTGTTCTTTATTACACTTTTGCATCATCCCGCCTTGACCTCACATGTGGCCTATGAAGTAATTACATTCGTCAGATATAAATATATCCACACTCCAGAGACCTGTATATAAAAGGCCTATAATGTATACTTTCTTAGCTATACTTCCAAATAACGCTGCATATCTCGTACGTGCACGCGGCCGTCAACCCTCTACTGTTCCTGGCGCTTCATCGAGCCCTGCGTCGCGCTGCTCTGCAGCTCTGCTGTGGCTGCTGCGTACACTGGAGCCAGTTCGTTCTGGCCCTCACCGCGGCTGGTAACCTCATAGCAACTAATCGTTATCATAACATCTATAATTTTTAGTTTGATAAAAAGACATTGAATACTATCTTCGTAATTTATATATTGTGTTCTGCGCCAGATATATTTTTAGAGGCCATGATAATTTTTATGTGGGTCGATACTGATTCAAAATAAAGGTAAGCCAAAAGACGCTGTCCATGTAGCCCAGTCTCCCCTGGCCCCGGCGTCCTTCTCGCCGGCCGCAGCGTCCCCGGAGCCTCCCCCCGCGCCCCCTCCCCCGGCGCCCCCCCACGCTCCGGCGCCACACACGATGATGGTAATTACTTCTTATATGTAAGTGTTGACACCGTAATACGTGGTTTATCACTCGCACGTCCTGCACGCATCCCTTAGCGTCCCTGACGTCGTACATCTCTCCCCACCCCTAAGAAGGCTAACGGACCTGAAAATTTTATTCTGGCTTGCATGTGTGTGTGCGCGATCGGCTGTGTGAGTGTCCCTTAGCTGAAGTCACGATGTCGATCTCAGAGTTGGGAGGTCGAGGAGTGTGATGCAGAGAGTATGTCGAGTGAACGTGTGCAGGGAGACGAGGATATGATGGAGTGGACCGGCGTGCGGCGTCCGCGCTCGCCGAGCCCGCTGCTGCCGGCGCTGTGAGACCACAGTGACGTCATCGATGACGTCCCCCGTCACGTCACACAACACCCGAACGATACTACTACGACGATTCCTCGGAGCGAACTTTTATTGTATTCTCGATGTTAGTCTGTATTGATATCATATAAGAGCTCAATTATAAAATAGCAATAAACGACCACAAATTAATATAGATCGATAAAGATATTTTTGTGATGTTAATTTAACGACGACACCAAATAAAGGGTAAACCCATATAAATAGTTTTATAAATACTCGTAGATGTAAGACGATCCCTCGTGTGTTTTCACTTCGTAATAATAATTCTTCTTAGATCAGGTACGTGTACTTGTGTATCTAATTTATTGTAAATAAATCGATGTCGTGATTACATTATCTATTTTAGATTCAGTAAATATTCACTTTTAAACTCACAACACTTTTAGACTTAATTGAACTCTAATTTTAAAGTCACAGTCGTTTTAGAACTGAGGTCGATATTTGCTTTTAATTTGACCGGGAATAAAAAAGAAAAGCGAAATAAAACCTCTATTTCTGATTTTTTGTAAAGGTTAGTTTTAGTTCGAGCTTTTAAATTCCATTCCAACTTTGAGAAAAAGTAGATAGTAGATATAAATGAACGTAATGTTTATTAATAGCACTAAGTCATGAATATTACTTGTACTTATGAAGACTAGTGTCGTATGAAAAAATAGTATTTTTGTAATACTTGAATGAAATAATTTTATTATAAGTTGATAAAAAAATAAAAATTCTTGTAGAAGTTCGCTCTGCTTTCACCGTTTTATAAAAACTTATTTAAATATTATGATATAATATGAAGAGTTCCTTATAATAATGTTAGTTTGAGATAAATTTAAAATACATTACGTATATCGATGACGTAAATTATTATAAAGTAAAAATTCCATTTTTTCATTTGCGTCGAGTTCATTGTAACATAACTGTATTTCTTTATTTCTGTGTTAATGCTTATAAACAAATACTCTAAACGTAATATCAAGCCAGTGTAAAGACTGATTTTAATAATTCATTTATGTTATTCGAAAGTGCTGCGGGTCCCAGTTGTTTAAATGTCTTCAGTTAAATTGTTACAGAGTTAAACTTCAGATACGAACATCAAAATATTGTAATCAGAAACAGTGAACTCCCGCTGTTAACTTAAATTGAACTTTATTGTTAGGACTCAAAGTTTAAATTAAACGGTTTCCTCACACGTTTTAACATAATTATAAAGACGTTCCTCCTTCAAATGATGTATCACCTCGTTTATTATTCTATGTATTGTTTAACTCTTGAACTACGTATGTTTAGTAAAAAGTGAATTAAAACTTATATTATATATGAACACTTATGATAAAGTAAGTGAAACTATTGTCCTTTTTTGATAAAACTTATACGTGTATGTGTTAGTACAGATAAGTGTATAGATTTAAAAGTTTTATTCTCATTAAAATTTGAGCTCTGTAAGTATATAAAAAGAAATCAACTTTCACTTCATTTAACAAACAATTTTAAAGTATATTATGTTAGAGTTTAATAAATGTAACAAATTGCCAAGTTCGTGCTCAAACGCTTACTCTCTTATATTTAAATATTGTACATGATTCCCTTGTACGTGTACATTTATTATTAATATCAAATTATATGTATTTTATTCTGATGTATGTTAGTTCGTGTATTAGAATATGTTTAGATTAAATTTTACATCGACATATAAAAGGGTTGTACATTAACGTATTTGTAAAACTGAGGAGACTAAAGGTAAAATTATTTGTAAAAATAATGTGTTCTGTAATGAAATGAAATAAAATATAATATAAAATATACAAAATAAAGGAAATATTAAAATAGCTTTCACGTTCTTTTTATTTTCCTGAATCATCAAAATTATTTATTTATATAAAGATATTTTCCCATACCAAGTACGGCTTTAACTAAGGCTTTGAAAATAAATATCTAAAAAAGTTATCTCCCATTTTAGGTCAAAATGATCAGAGAATACTGTTTTATGTATTTTAATGAATATAATATTAAATATCTCTAATTATTTTTATTATATTATAAGTATGAAACTTTAATTAAGGTTTTCCTCACAACACTTGCCTCTCGACATTTAATTGCTATATTAGCAGCGGCTCTAGTCTAATATTTACTCGGCTTTAACTTTTCTCGTTGAAGAGAAAAATATTGTTCAAGAAAATTCTATAACTTTAACGATGAAAAATAACTTTATTCAATAAAAACATATATTAATAACAAAACAACACAACTAAAAGTTAAAAAATATTTAAGCATATGTTTTTTTATATATTTTATTCAGTATGACGAGTTCGAGGTCGTTGACTAATAGATTGTTTGAAGCTTCAATGTTTCCTTGAACAATAATGACATTTTTACCTGATCTTGCAATAAACGTTACTATTATATTTGAAACATACCTCGGCACCTTATGTTCCAGTAATTTGCCTGCTGAGGGCGTTAACTTTTCTTGGTTTTACTTTGTAAATTTTCTTAATTGAAATGTAAGTTAATTGAAAGTATTATACATTTAACTAAAGCAACAATATTGACAGCACATTTTAAGATTTTTAAAATATATAATTTTTTTATAAGACAATAACATCTGGATAAGCCAACACAATTGTGTGTATTAATACATTAAGGTTTCACTAAATTATATAAGTTTTCGAAGCCACGATTTAGTTTTTCTTAGAAAATTTTTACTATAATAGAGATTTTATGAAATATAAAAGGAAATCCTTCATGCGAAGTAAATATTCAGTATATTCAGATTTTTAACCAAAACGACGTAAAATTGTTCCAAAAATGCTTCACAATTCGTTACAGAGTTTCATACTCGTAACGATCCAAAAAATAGTTTGTGACTTTTCCTGGTCGAATAAATGGAACATCAAAGGTCATTGACGTCGCCCCAAATGTGGCTCACACGCTCTGTACAAGACGACTCGGAATGTTATTTCACTTTTAAGAGAAAAAGATATATTTATAAAGAATATCAGATTTGAAAAATGTATGCCTATTTGAATACTGTGGTGAAAAGAAAATGTTAGTGAATCGTATTGAAAATATAAAAAATATAAACTTTAAAGTTTTCAGAAATTTTATATTAATTTTCATCAACTTTCACACATGACTTTATTTGTGTTAAAATTCGCTCGTCTCCATTAACGTCGTTAAATAAAAATAAATGAAGAAGATATTTATACGAATAACCACTTCATTTTTAAAACATATACCTACTTCTGAATTTTATATTATGAAAATTCATTTTAAATGTAAAAAATAATATTTTTTTTTAAGAAATATTAAATTATATATATAGGAGTGTACTGTTCAAAACAATTGTTGACTTCAGTTATTTTTGTTATCAGATTGGCAAAATACTCGCTGGCCTCAATTTGCCATTCAACAAAAGGGAAGCGTTTTTACGGTGTAACTCTAATAAGACTGTCTAATTTTATCACAAAATTACACTTTTGAAACGAATGGTTTCATTCTTTTTAGTAATTTTTAATGAATTACTACTTAGAAACCTTGTTAATTTGTATAAAAAAGATATATTTGCTTACAACTATTTGGTGTAGTTAGAAAAATGTTTTTTTATTTACCAGGAAGTGGGAGGGTGTAAGAAATATATTTCATTGTTAAAATAAGTAACACAAAAATTTTAAAACGCATAAAATATTCCAAAATTTTTATATCAATGAAATATTTATTCAATAAAATTCTTTTCATTCCTTTTCTTACAAAGAGATTAAGAACTTAGACAAAGTTGATACACAAACATTGTATAGTTTAACTTTAGTGAAGCACTTAAAATTTAGGAGCAACTTTTTTGGCCCGTTTTAAATAGATTTTGGTGAATCTTCTCATTATAAAAATAATATTTTGCTCTTTTTTGTGAAAAAAATTATTGAAACTATTTTTTATTTTTAGACGCAATCTCCTAGTAATGAACGCAGAGCAATTGTCGAGATAAAACAAAAGATTATTCCTCACTTTTCTGTGGAAATTTATTCTATTTAAATTTATTTTAGTGTAAATTTATTCAAGTGTCGTCCAACGAACGATCGGTCTACTGTTTTGTTAAGATGAGAAAAAATTTGATTCTTAAAATAGATTAAGAATCCTATGAAGTTGTTGTGTAGTAATTGTTTATAATGTTCTCTAAAACAACATATAATAATTATTATGAAAAGCTGTTTTGACGTTTTAGTATCTAATTAAAGGTAATAAGTTAGATAATTACCCCTTGAATTTAAAAAAATACTTTTAGTCTTTTTTCGTACTGAAAAATCAAAAGTATTTGTTTAAATAATCCTTAAAAGATGTTTAGTTTGTTTGTTATACTCTTATCTTTATTGTTTAAAAGTCAACCTATCGTGAAAACTAAGTTTTATTGAAATGCTGTTAAAGGAAAAAAGAATTGTTGTATTTGTTGCGTATAAATGTAGTCTACGAATTCTTGTGGTATATTTAATCTTCTCAATTTCACCTGTTATTCGTTCAACTATCACATGTCGCGTTACAGTCGTCAGGATAATAAGAATAACGTTAAAAGCAGCCAAGATCAATAACACTATCAAATACCATTGAGCTCACTAGATGACCCCGTTTTACTTCCTTATATTCTGACAAACTCTACACGTTTTAGAGAGACCATTGTGTGAAGTGGCTACCTGCTTCTTTCACCTGAATGAATTTTGTAAATAATGTATTTAATATTTATCCTGTGTACCGTTTTAATACGAATATTATAAATGAGATCTATTGCTTCGTTTTTCTTAAATTTTAATTTATTATGAATGAAAAAGATTTAAAACTTTTGAAGTAATTATTTACAGAAAAATGCTAACATTTTCAGTAATTCCCTTTCTACCAAAAATGTGTCATTTGCACCGCGGCTTTGTTATATAACACCACACGTTTGTGTCTGGCAGTATTTTATTTTAATTTTAATTTGTTTTGAAACATTT